GTGCTTAAGTAGGTAATAATTTATAATCTGTCTCTTATACACATCTAGATGTGTATAAGAGACAGTCTGGCGACTCATCGGATTACGCGCTATATTACAACCAATCATAAGTATGGAAACCTGTGGGTGTTTTAATGTGGGGTCAGCATGATTATGAAAATATAGATTTGTAACTTTAACCATAGATTCATTTGCGATTGATATGGGGAATGCAAGCACGCAGTTTAAACCAGTATTGCTAAATGTTTCTTATAGTTTATATAGGCCTCGGGGTGTTGACAAGTGGGTTTCTTTCTCCATCTCTTGAGGATAAAATACCTGTTTGCTTAACGAAATTATTCTTTTCGACCCAGTCACAACTTTGTACCTAAACTTTAACAGCAAACCAGGTTTAGCTTATGTCTGATTTGAGGTCACTGGGAAAAATCAACCTATTTAACATCCAAAAGGTATGAACTGTCTCTTATACACATCTAGATGTGTATAAGAGACAGCCTGTTGCGCTGAGTAGTTCAAGTTACTGGCGTGGTTGCTTGCAGGTCTAAACAACCCACTTGATCCCATACCAATCACTACCGGTACTCGCTGATTCAAATGTTGTGGAAAACACAGGCGCTGGCGTCGCAAACCAGGCTTGTACTCAATTGGAATGTTACTAATGTGACCCCACCTGTAAAATACATCAATACCATCATTTTTTATATTAAAAAAAAACATATTTAATTTATTTTTCATTTCATTTACTTCTTCTCATACATACAAAAACACACAACAAAAGAACAGGTTGATGGCTATGCAGAGAAGGGATTCCAAAAAAGTGAACTCAATCACTGTCAATGTAGGTCTCCCAGAACACTGTTTAAAACATGAAATTTAAAACTATAATAACAATTTAGAAGAATACAAATAAATAAATATACAATTTAAAAAGCTAATCATCATATGCAAGTGTTGATAAATGAGATTTAAAATTCCTAATATATAAATTTATAAGTCAATCGTGACGTCATCACTGTAACTCCCAATGCTGTCTCTTATACACATCTAGATGTGTATAAGAGACAGGTATTATTATGTCCTTATTCTAACACTGTATTTACCTTTCTTTGATGATTATATATATATATATATATATATATATTTACATATACATATATATATATTTACATATACATATACATATATATATATTTATATACATACATATATATATTTACATATACATATATGTAAATATATATATTTACCTTTTGCTATCAGAGGTGTTATCTTCATATTTTTTCAACGTTCTGATATATATTGGTATGATTTGATGTCGGAGGTGTCGTTGTGTATGAGTTCGGCAGTCAACCCGTTCATCTACGTGTTCCGTCATAAGCAATTCTCGTCTGCTTTACGTCGTCTCATTGCGAGACTTAGATACGGTATACCGCTTACGGTAGGTAAGGAGGTTTCGAAACCTTAAGAAAATGATAAGAAATGAGTTACATCTTCGTTTTTGTTATTTATTCCTACATCTGTTTTAACAATAATAAGACTTATAAAGCACACAAATTCACTGCAGTAGTGTTCAAGACGCTACCCAAGGAAGGAACAAAAATTACCGTGAACCTAAAAGCTACAAGAAGAGAAACATAACACCATTACCGTAATACCGCGCCGTTTACAGGCAATTTGAGCAGCGTGACCACTCACAATTTTTGATATACCCAATGACTGGGTCGAAATTACCCAAGATTCAGCAAAAATTGCCCAAAATTACCCAAGCTTCCTGAAAATGCGTTAAAATTTGAAAAATACGTGTTTTTCGCATGTATAGTTTCCCTTTTAGTTCAATTTATAAACCAATTTGTTATTGTAATTATTTGTGTTAATTATTAAAATTAATATTCATGAGGTGATAATACGGATAGAAAAATACGCCCTCAGTCGCCAGTGTTATCAGTAGATCAGTGATCAAGTTTTATTATGTAATGCATTAATTAGGTAAGACTTATGGCAACGCAAATCACAAATAAACAATTCTGAACCCATGTTTATAGCAATCAACAGTCAATTAACAATGTTAAGTGCACTTTGTTGAGTTTTGCTTACTTGAATGGACTGAAATATACTTTGTTACCTCTTAATTCTTCCTCTATGACAAAAATGTTTAATTTTCTTAGTAAAAATAAAATACCCAAGGATTTGAACAGAATACCCAAGAACCCAAGACCAAGTCAAAATACCCAAGATCTTGGGTAAATACCCAAGCAGTGGTCACACTGAATTTGAGGCACAGGGCCGGCCTATCATAACTCACGGGTGCTCAAGTAATGGGGTATCTAACTATAACAAATTCAGCAAGCAAGCAAGGCAAACAAGATAACTAAGAAAAAGCAGCCGACAACAGATGTTTCTTGAGAGCTATTTTGAACAAAGATAATATGATTTGCACAAAGACAAACAATACAGGAGTAAAAAAATGTAGAAATACTTATTTCGTCTTTATAAAAGCAAGTTATTTTAACAGTTTCAGTAGTTGCAGTACGTTATCGACCTTAATACTATGATCATAGATCCCTCCGTTACAACAAGAGAATTGGAGGTTTTTCATTTCCTTGTTATGCTTCTAAACTTTGGAATACTCTTCCAAATTGTTTTATTTCCTCCGAGTTCCAACTGACCCTGGAGATATCTCAGATCCTAATCTTTTTAAACGTGCGCTCAAGGCTTGTTTGTGGTTTGCCTAAACCTCTTTTTGGGGCTTTTTCTTTTGTGTTTTTATTGTTGTAATCTGTTTATTTGTCTTGAGGGTATTTCCCGCACGATTAAAATCGTAACGGTACTGGGTTTGGTCTACAGGAGCTCGTGTTTCGTACAGGTCATTACATTCATAGAAAAAGCCTTTAATGGTGAAAGCGTACCTGTCATTAGCCATAGTAGCCTAGGTCAATACATAACACTGCCTGTATAAAATTTATTATAAGATTGCAAATGTTAATCTTATTATTGTAGTAGTGATACTTACACGTTTTAGTTATTGTTATTTATTCGTTAACGTTATTATATTTATATTTGAATTTAATGTATTGTTTGAGTATGAATTACTATGTTCATGTTAAATTAATCTATTAAAATTGTATTGTGATGATGCGATTTGTTCGTGCGATGGGGATTGCGCTGCAGCTATTATTGTTTGCTTTATTGTTATTGTATCATTTCATCTCGTGCATGTTCATGCAGTATAGGCCTATGCTTTTGTGGGCTCTTGCAACGAGTTTTCGTTTGTTCCGTTGCACGCCCTGCACACGTTATTTTGGCAATATGCATTTCGGAAGTTCATGATGTAAGTGTATATTAGAATCGATAGTTAATTCAATTTAATGATATGTGTGCATTGATACAATAAGTTATAAGCATGTTATATTATAATAATGTAGTTAATTCATGTCCACATTGGACTAATGCCGGTATTGAATGCATTGTTAATATTATTTTGCTGTACATTTACATGAGTTGTTAATATTATTAATGTTATTCTACATTCCGCTAATGGAGAGTGATTGTTATTACTCATAATCGTTATATTCTTGTTTAGTGATTAATATACCGTTAGCTTGGTGGCCAGTAATAGTCTGAAGTTATGGAAGTTTTGGTGGCCAGTAATAGTCTGAAGCTACAGAAGTTTTGGTGGCCATTATTAGTCTGTAGGTGACAGAAGTTTGTTCTGGAGCGTCCAATAGTCGTAGTTTACAGACTGATGCATTAAGCAGACTCTAGTAGCTTGAGGTAAATACAAGTTATTACATCATTTTAATAGTATGCTATTTAATCATCAAATTGTTTCTGATGTTGGTGTGTTGCCAGGTTATATCAGAATTGTTGTTAAATTGTATAACGCATTATATAATTCTTGTTTGGAATGTATATTTTGCAGGGATTTTCTTATAGTTCGCTTTGGTTTATGTACAAAACGTTGAATGTCACAGATACCGTTAACGGTTAGCAAGCGCTATCGGTTAGCAAGTGAGCGCGTTTCTATCATCAACCAATCACACGTACGCGTTTACAATTTCCAGTTTCCTATTGGCCATTGATTCGATATCATATTCTTGGTATCCGGATCGGGATTTTCTCGTATGGACGCACGGCAGCTAACGGTTAGCAGGATCCGGAT